AAAAAAAAAGACCGTACCCTTTTATGTAATGATGTTTACTTTGAATTTATATTAGTTCACACAAACACTCCATCCATGCTTTTGTTCCGGCCCTCCGGTCCAGTTTAAGAACCCATTGTGGCCCTCGAGGCAAAAAGTTTGCCCACCCCTGGGCTAGAGCATCAGCCTGCGGATTGAAGGGCCCCAGGTTCAATTCTGGTCAAGGGCACATGCCTGGGTTGTGGGCTTGATCTCCGAGGGGGCTGGGGGAGGGGGAGGCATGCAGGAGGTAGCTGATCAATAATTCTGTCTCGCCCTAACAGGTTTGGCTCAGTGGATAGAGCGTCAGCCTGCGGACTGAAGGGTCCCAGGTTCGATTCCGGTCAAGGGCATGTACCTTGGTTGAGGGTACATCCCCAGTAGCGGGTGTGCAAGAGGCAGCTGATCGATGTTTCTCTCTCATTGATGTTTCTAACTCTCTATCCCTATCCCTTTCTCTCTGTAAAAAAATCAATAAAATATATTTAAAAAAATAATAATTCTCTCTCATCATTGATATTTCTATCTCTTTCTCCCTCTCCCTTCCTCTCTGAAATCAATAAAAATATATTTTAAAAAATATCAATGATGAGAAAGACTCATTAATTGGCTGCCTCCTGCACATCCCATGCTTGGGACCAAGTCTGCAACCCGGACATGTGCCCTGACTGGGAATCGAACCGTGACCTTCTGGTTCATAGGTCGACACTCAACCATTGAGCCACGCCGCCGGGCTAAAAAGTTAATGTTTTAAAGAATTCATATGTGTTGACACATAATAAGACAGAACTACTAAGACTTTAAAATTAAAATATTTAACTTCTTCCTTTTCCAACAAACTAGTCTCTTTATTAAAAAAACTACTGGAATGGGAATAGTTTTTCAAATTCCTACATTAAACATATAGAGATTATCTATGAACAAAGGAAAAAATTTGGTGATAACTTTATCACAGTTAACTTTAAAAATGGATCTAATACAAATTTTTAACCTGCCTTGTCCACCTTGTAACATTGTGAACATCTCTCTTTCTTTTTAAAATATATTATGGATTTCAGAGAGGAAGGGAGAGGAAGAGAAACATCAATGATGAGAGAGAATCATTGATCGGCTGCCTCCTGCACACCTCTCACTGGGGATCGAGCCCGAAACCCTGGTATGTGCCCCCAACCGGAATTGAACCCAGGACCCCTCAGTCCGCAAGCCGACGCTCTATCCACTGAGCCAAACCAGCTAGGGCTTGTGAATATCTCTTGAAAGCAATATTTTTCTTTATCACTTTTAACAGTTACAAAGAATTCCACTGTAAAGATGAATTATTTTTCCCAGACTCTATTTATGGATAGTTTATTAAATCTAATCTGAATTAGATTATTTCCAGGTTTGTGTGGTGGGCTTTTTTTTTTTGCTACCATAAACAATATGGAGGAATATGTTCACTGCAAAATCTTTATGAACATCCATGATTACTTCCTTGGGTACATTCTTATAAGTGGAATTCTGGATCAAAGAATGTGTATGTTTTAAAGCCCCTATTGCCTGTTGCCAGATTACCTTCCAATTTACACTCCTATTGGCAGGGCATCAATTATCTTTTTCTCCATGTTCTTGCCAACATCTGGAATATTCTTACCAACCTTTTTTCTGTGGTAGTCAGTTTTATAGATGGAAAGTTATCTTATTATTTAGTTTATATTTTTATGACCACTAGTAAGATTTACCTTTTCCCCCCAAAGTTTTTTGGTAAATTGCATTCTTTTAGTATTTGCCTATTTTCTTTGTTTTAAAAGTAGTAATTTTTCCTAAAAATGTATTAGAAAAAACATATGGAGATTTTCTGTGGATAATTCTGTGTCAAATCATGAGTTTTTTTTTTTTTTTTTTTAATTTTTTTAAAATATATTTTATTTTATTGATTTTTTACAGAGAGGAAGGGAGAGGGATAGAGAGTTAGAAACATCGATGAGAGAGAAACATCGATCAGCTGCCTCCTGCACACTCCCCACTGGGGATGTGCCCGCAACCAAGGTACATGCCCTTGCCCGGAATCGAACCTGGGACCCTTGAGTCCGCAAGCCGATGCTCTATCCTCTGAGCCAAACTGGTTAGGGCAAATCATGAGTTCTTTAACATATAATCTTTATATAAACAATTTAAGAAACAAACAAGTTTAAAGCCCTTCTCTAAATTCTATCTCTTTCATTCCCCCTAAGATAATTACTAGTATATTGTGGACTTTCAGTTTAAAGATTTTTTTTGTTTTCTTTAGAGAGAGAGGTAGGGAGAAACAGAAGGGGAGGGAGAGGGAAAAGAGAAAGAGAGACAGAGAGAAAGATATCAATGAGAGGGAAACATTGACCAGCTGCCTCCTGCATGCCCCCTACTGGAGGTTAAGCAGGGAACCCAGGCATGTGCCCTGACCAGGAATCAAACCAGCTACCTTTCTGTGCATGGGACAATACTCAATCAACTGAGCCACACTGGCCAGGGCTCATGTGGGCTTTTAAGTGTAAGAGCACATATGCAATTAAATATTATTTATTTTTAGGTAGCTTTCACTTTTTTGTTGCTATGGAGAGTCTATATTTTTGAACTTAACTTTATTTTCTTGGTTTTAAAAAAGTAGTTCTATCATCTACAAATAATGATATTGTCTTTGCTTGCATTTAGGTATTCTAACTTCTTGTAACAACTACACTTCTAAACAATCATAAATAAAGTGGTATACAGGACAATGTGGGAATGCCTTGTACAATCAAATATGGTTTTGGCTATTCACTTGAAGTGGGTTTTTAATAATCATGTCAAGAAAATATTATTTCTAGTTTGTTTGTTTTTTAGATTTTTAAAAAAGAGAAAGGATTTGGCTTTTGAAACACATTAATGACTAAAAGCCCCCACACATAATAAGACATATACTTACAATAATAGATGCTCATCAGGAACTGTAAAAACAGGGATGGAAAGAAAGTTAATCATATTAAACCAGTGACCACAAACATAAAATTGAGCTTATGGATCTAATTTTACTCCTTCCCAATATTCCACTAAACAATAACAAGACTTTTCTAAAAGCATAAACTAAAAAATAAAATAAAATGCATAAACTCTCTAGGATAATGACAGGGAGAAACAATATCTAAGAAAGAAAAAGAAATTTTTCAGACATGTAAAATCTCAAAAAGTACATTTCATGTGCCTTTCCTTCAAGAAGTTGCTACAGTCAGTATCTATACTAATAAAAGGGTAATATGCTAATTAGACTGGACAAAGCCACAGTGGTGGGGCCAAGGAAGAGGTGGTTAGGGGCGATCAGGCCAGCAGGGGAGAGCAATTAGGGGCAATCAGGGAGGCAGGCAAGTGGTTAGGGGAGATCAGGCAGACAGGCAGGCGACCGGTTAGGAGCCAGCGGTCTTGGATTGAGAGAGGGATGTCCGACTGCTGGTTTAGGCCTGATCCTAGCAGTCGGACATCCCCTGAGGGTCCTGGATTGGAAAGGGTGCAGGCTGGCTGAGGGACTCCCCCCGACCCCTGCACAAATTTCGTGCACAGGACATCTAGTGGGTTCTATGAAATGAAGTAGCAGACTAAGAAAACAAAAATTGTAGGGACATAAGGTTCACCATCAGTAATGGGAATCCTGGGGTAAGAGTGGTGGAGGGAGCTCTGGAGAGAGCCTGGAGAGCAGCCGGTCCACAGGAAAATGAAGCTGAAAAAACATCTCGTTCGTCTCAACACCTAGCGGACAGGTTTTGAGCACTGATGAGCTTGAGGTTGAGTGAGGGATAAACATACAGAAAACTAAAGAAGCCAATGTACACACAGCTGCAACTCCAGGAAAAGAAGTTACACCGGAAAGGAAAAGTAATCCTAGCTTCCTACATGGCTCGGGGGTGCCTAGTTTCACATCATACAAATGCTGAGAGGTATTACCCCGGAAAGGGGGTGGTCAGGGAGAGTATGACTGTCTAGCGCAGCTTTTTAAACAGCAGAAGACAGTTCTGCTGAAAATGACCAGGCCTCCATGGCGGCCTGCAAACCGGCCTCAGCGCAGCGCCAAGGCCCTGGGACAGGGCGCAGTCCCGGCGATCACCGAGTTGACACCAGGCTGACTTTCTACCTACCCTTTTTGGGACTGGAAGGCGTTTGAATTCCTGGCTGGCCTAATCTTTGAAGCATATATATAGCATTAGTTTTAACTGAAATGAGAAAAAAAGACTGGCTTTGCTCTTCTCAATTCTTAAAAAACAGTAACTCCAGATAAGCCCTTTAAAAGTGCAGTCCTTTTAACACAAGTGCCAGCCAAGTGAGTAAGCAGCGGCAGTTCTGAGGCCTAATCTATTTCCTCAATGGCCATGTGTGCACTGGCTGAGTGGCTCCCCCCAGTCGGTGCGTTTGTTCAGAGCGGAAGCCGCGCGTGGTCAGGGCGCCCTCTGCTGGCCCGAGGGGAGAAGTGCCTGCACAATATTCAGGTTTCTCCAGTCACTGCCTGTGCATTTGGGTTTTGTGGCCCTAAAATACTTATTTGCTGAATAAAGTATGTGAAAGGATTAAAGTTAACAGATTTTGAGAAAAAAAGAGTGTCGACACGTTTAATAAGTTAAGCTTTTACCTTCCTCTAGGCCTGTGGGCTCGGGAGCCCGCCCGCCCGGCCTCCCCTGCTCCCGCCCCGCACACGCCCGCCCGCGCCCGCGCCCGCGCCCTCGGCCCGCACCGCGCGCGCTCTCCCGCACCGCCGCGGCCATCTCGCTCAGGAGCTCCTCCACCACGGCCGGCAGCGTGACCGCCCGCGAGGCCGCAGCCATCGGCCTGCGGGCGCGGCCTCCTCTGAAGGCCCGCGGAGCACCGCGCGGGCGGGTCTGCGAAGGGAGCCGACCACCGGCCGCGGGCGGGGCGCCGCGCCGCGCCGCGCCGCGCGGCGCAGTGACGTTCACTTCCGTCATCGCGCATGCGGACGGCCCGGCTGACGCCTCGCTACGTCACGGCCCTGCTCTTCGAGTGCGCCGGGCGCTGCGGGCGGGGCCGGCCGGGCTTGCCGGGCGCAGAGGACGCGGCGCAGGCATGTTCCGGCTCCTGGGCGCCGACCTGGGCCGAGCCCTCCTGCGGGCCGCGGGGCGGCGGGGCCGGCGCTGCTGGGCGCACCTGCCCCCGGGGCCGGCAGGCGGCCGGGCGCCAGCGGTGAGGGTGCCGCCGCCCCGCGTCGCTCCGCAGGGCGGGGGCCCGGGCCTGCTGCCGCTGCTGGCAGGTGAGGGTCGCGGGCCCGGGCGCGCGGGGCCGGGCGCGCGGGGGCGTGGGCGGCGCTGACGCGGCGTCCCTTCCCGCAGCGCTCGCGTGGTTCTCGAGGCCCGCGGCGGCGGAGGAGCCGGGAGCGGACCGGGCCGCCCGGGAGGCCGAGGAGGACGAGACCGAGGCCGAGATCATCCAGCTGCTGAAGCGAGCCAAGGTGAGGGCCCTGCCGCGGCGCGCCCGGCCCCGGGGCCGAAGACGGGATGGCGGCTCCGAGGTCAAGCGCCCGGAGTTGGACGGGGCGGGGCGAAGGCGGCGCTGGAGTCCGGCCAGGCTGTCGGTCTCCGAGGCTTTCCCGAGCCGCCGTCTCCGGCGCAGGTGCAGGTACAGGTGCCAGGGGCCCCGGGCGTCGTTCTCCGGGACGGAATGAGCGGAATCGTCTTGTGGTTTTTGTTCGCGAACCAGCCCAGGTGGCCGGACGGGCAGAGAGTCTCTCACACGCAGTACGCAGCCTGGGAGTGAGGTTCAGTGTTGCCTCTGAGCGGGCCGGTCCTCTCTTCCACACTCGTCCTTCTCCGCTTTCCTTTCTACTTCCTCTTCCCCCAGGTTGCCTGCTCTTCTGTTGGGTCGCCTGCCGCCCGATACCCGCAGTGTTCAGGGTGGCATTTCCACGCCGCAGGGCGCCACCGACGGGCCCTCTGCACCGGGAAGGCGCTGCCTGCCTCTCCGATGAACTGGCCGCAAACCAACCTGAATTTAAATTCCTCCCAGCACATTTCCTTCACCACCTTCTCTTCACTACCATCCGTGCAGTTCTTTAGCCTGAAAACCTCAGTGATTCTGAAAACTTGAGGCGTCTTATCACCACCTCCCAATACACTTACAGTCCAGCAACAGTTCCTGTTGCCAACAAATAAGAAAATCAGCCCCTCTCCTTTGTCGCCTCTGCTGTCACCGAGCCACATGGTGGCGCCGCCCTATCGCCCCTGCAATCCATTCTCCATGCAGCCAGAGTGACCTTCTTGCCTAAAAACTTTGAATGACTTCCCACTGCATTTTTTTTTTAAATCCTCACCTGAGAATATGTTTTCTTACAGATTTTAGAGAGAGAGGAAGGGAGAGAGTTGCCTCCCGTTCTCAACCCAACAGGGGTTTGAGCCCGCAACCTTTTTGGCGTACAGGAGGACGCTCCAACCAACGGAACCACCTGGCTGGGGCTTTTCACCGCCTTTATGATTAAATTCAAATTTCTTGCCATGGTCTGCAAGACCCTACAAGATTGACACCACCTTACCTTGCCCACCCACTTACAATAATCCTGTGGTTCAGCATCTTTCTTTCATCTCTCTTTTCATTTCTTGAATGGTTCTTAAAGAACTGCTCTCTTCCGTCTGCAGAGCCTTTGCTCATTCCTCACTCTCTGTTTGGGTCATTTTCCCCCCACAATTTCTTATTTGGGTGACTCTCTCTCATCCTTCTTTCTTCAGTTTAACCATTACTTACTTGGAAAGCTCTGGCCCCCATTTAGAGGACACCCTTATTGTTCTTTCCATTATTTTTTCATAGGTCTTATGAGTTGTAATTAAGCTTATTTGTTGTACAGGTGTTGGGCAAGGAGCTTTCTTTTAAATCACGATGCAAAAATTGCTCACATTCCTGCTGTCTGCATCTGTTGGCCAAGACTTGGTCATATGGCCATCCATTGTAGACATAATGCCTGGTGCGTTCAGTGAATATTTGATGAATGAATGGCTTCCTTCTATGTGTTGGGATGTACAGCCATATCCTCTTCTGTTCGGTAACACACCACCTGCTTTCTTTACATTTCATTTTCATGTTTTTCTCTTTTCAGTTGAGCATCATGAAAGATGAGCCAGAAGAGGCTGAGCTAATTTTGCATGAGGCACTTCGTCTTGCCATTCAGAGTGATAACAAGAAGGCCATCATTTACACTTATGATTTGGTAACTCATGTAGCTAATCTCAGCCACTGATGAAGGGTGGATGCAAGAGAAGGGATGTTAGCACTACTGATTTATATTCCTGACCCTCTTCGTTTTTGTTTTACTAAGTTTTTTTTTTTCTTCTAATTTTTATTATCCTTGGGGTGTCACTTATAAGAAGTTTCGATCCCAGACTCAAAAGAAACAAATATCATTAACATTTGTTTTTTCAAGGATAAGTGAATTTACATTTGGATTGACATCCACAAAGCATATGCAACTATTTATTCTCATACCATTGTTGTACTTTGCTTCTGGTAGATTAGTGACATATTTTTTTCTCTGAACAATTTTTTAATTAGTGGATGAAAGCAAAAAGGAGTCATTAGCTTAAAAGTTTTAAAGTAAGAACACGGTGTTCTAAACTGAAAAACAATTTATAATTTATTTTCAGATGGCCAACTTAGCATTTATACGGGGTCAGCTTGAAAATGTAAGTAAGTAAATCACTTTGTAATATCTTGAATTTGTGAAGGATTGGCTTCAAGGGAACACTGTTAGTAAGGGTACAGGCTAAGCCACTGTAACAAAGAGACCCCAAAATAGAGTGATTCAAACAAGACGGAGGTGTATTTCTCTCTAGTGCATTAGTCCAGAGGTAGTTAATCACCAAAGGGGACTTTGTACCTTTGTTCCATGAAGTGGTCTAGAAGCCCAGGTTTCTTCTTAGATAGATCCCCATCTGCATAGATCAGCTGGCTCATCTCCAGCTTGCAGGAAGGAAGGAGGAGAGGATGGCGGGCAAGCAGCTTACTTAAAAAATATGAGTTAAAAATTGTTCACATTCCTTCTGCCTGCATCTTTTGACCAAAACGTTAATCATATGATCATACCTAATTGCAAAGGAGGCTGACTTATGCAGAATTGAGGAGATTCTGTAACTGAAAAGACGGAGAGGAGAGTGAATAGTAGGGAATAGTTTGCAGTCTCTGCCACAGTGGCTTAGGATTAGAAGTTAACTTCTAAAGTTTTCACTCATCACAGAATAGTTTTTAAGGTGCCCAGAGCATGTGGGGTCCAGATTTTTAGTCTGTTTTCCCATCACAAGGATACCTTTCTCTGTATGTGAATGTGTGTGCGTATTGTGTTTTATGAGGAATGATGCATCAGACTAGTACTTGGAATCCAGGGTCATCTAGATAGTGGACCCAAATAAAACAAAAATCTTTTCCTTATGCTTTTAGGCAGAAAAACTTTTTAAAGCAACAATGAGTTACCTGCTTGGAGGGGGCATGCAACAGGTAAGAATATTGCCTAGGATTGGGCCCTAGCTGAAGCTGGTTTCAAAATAGTCTTGCTTCCTGAAAACACCCAGCTCCCAACATGTGCTTTGGGGGGGCTGGGAGGGAGGGGAGTAGGTACCTCCCCCTTCCCGGACTTGTATGAAAACTGCCACTCTTTCACTCATGCAAAAGCATGGTAGCTGAGGAATTCACAGGTGCCTAATTCCTCCAGAAGGATAAAGACTGACGTTCAGGCCCAAGTAAATCTAGAAGTTGATCTGAAATAGTCCATGAGGAAGTTTACTTGTCATGTATTTTCTTTCTCCCAGTAGGAAGACAATGCAATAATTGAAATCTCTCTAAAGTTGGCCAGTATCTATGCTGCTCAGAATCGGTAAGTGTAGCCAGACTCTAGGACTGTGGACAGAAAACTATGATCCCGGGATGGTGTATAGTTTTCATTTACCTACTGGGTCCCCAGATCATCTGGGTCTTCAAAAAATTGGGTGTCACATTCAAAATGTTCCCTTCTTCATTGAAATCCTCAGTCTTTCCCAGTGTTGCCCCTGCTGTTTCAGTGACCCTGCTGAGTGAGGAATATAGCCCTCAGCCCTGGCTGCACAGAGACAAAGCTAATCAAGGGAAGCAACTTGAGTTGAGCTCTTTCTAGAAGAGAAGGAAGGAGTGTAAAAGCTGCTAGGGGTAATAAACTTTGAAGAGACCATTTTGCTGTTAAAAGTATTACCCAACCAGGAAGTTAGGTATAAGTTAAATGAGAGAGTTGCTATGGTGTGTCTTAGTGGCTGGTTTGGTTGGCAGTATTTTTAAAACATCCAGAGATGGTCAGGTAGCTAGATTTTAGGAAGGGGAAATATCTAGGAGTAGAGAGACTTCTGGGTAAGTGGGACAGGAAGTCGATGCTCATTTAAAAGTATTAGATGAGTCTCGATCCTTAGAAAGAAGGAAATCTGCCAGCTACACAGAAAAGGCTTTAGAAAACCATTTGGATGTGTCAGGAGCTGATGAGTGAGGGCTGAGCCTTTCATTCTCTCCAGATGGAGTTCAAAGAAGAAACACTTAGGGTGTAAGCAAAGAATTCCTCTAGAGCAGTGGTTCTCAACCTTCCTAATGACGCAACCCTTTAATGCAGTTCCGCATGTTGTGGTGACCCCCAACCATAAAATTATTTTCGTTGCTACTTCATAACTAATTTTGCTACTGTTAGGAATCATAATGTAAATATCTGATATGCAGGATGTATTTTCATTGTTACAAATTGAACATAATTAAAGCATAGTGATTAATCACAAAAACAATATGTAATTATATATGTGTTTTCCGATGGTCTTAGGCGACCCCTGTGAAAGGGTCATTCGACCCCCAAAGGGGTCGCGACCCACAGGTTGAGAACCGCTGCTCTAGAGAGTTATAGTCTGGGAAGACCTAAGACAAGCTTTTCCTTAGATTTTAGTTGCTGCAGAAGTTGGGTACTAGAGGTTTGGAATAACATCAAGTCTGGTGCTCATGGAGGCGAGGGGCCCTGCCACTGGTCCCTACTGTCCCTTGTCACCAGGAATGGCTAGACGGGCAAGCACTTCTGAGGGCCTTTGACTCCCAGTCTTATGGAGCTTGAAAGTGGGTCCGTTCCGGGCAGCATTGCAGCTGGGTCAGTCTGCCTTGGAGGAGTAACAGGACTAGGAGTTGATGGGTGTGAACTCCTAGGGTAAGAAGCTCAAAGCTAATCACACTGGAAAGTAAGACAAATTCATGGTCTTATAGAGGTGAAACCTTGTGTAGGAGCCACTAATAATTAGTTTATAAATTACTCTCTCCGCAAAAGTGGTTTTTTGTTTTGTTTTATTAAGAGAACTATGAGACCAGAAAATACAGTTAGATCCTGAGGCTTAGAGAGACTGACATTAGGAGGGAAGTCATTTCTGGACATTTTGCTCTGACTAGGAGCATCTTGTGGCCAGCCACCCCTGCTCCAGGTCCTGGCTGGATCCAAACCATGTCTGCCAGGGTTTGGGTCTGGGGAAGCTTCTGAACTGTGGGATCACCTGTTTTTCCTGGCAAAGCACTAGAGGAGAAGGGCTGAGCTTTCTAGTACCACTTCCGGTAAGAAACTAGAGCCAGGACTGAGCTTCTGGATGGAGGAGTTTCTGTCATGTTTCTGTGCATCTTTTTACAGAAACCAGCAGTTGACCCTTGTTCTTACTCAGTCTGCTGCTGGGAGGACACCAGGGCTGGAGTGAGGCTAACTGCTTCCCAGTGCCACAGCTAGGGGTTCCATTTTGTGAAAGAAACTTTCATCAAAGACCTACAGGTTGGAAGACGTATAAAGTTATTCCAAAAATTGTAGGAGGTCATTAGACTCCTAGTACAGGGTGGCTTTTGCCTCCATTCATACTAGTATTACTTTGAGCAAAAAAGTGACTCAACTGTTCACACAAGATGATGAAAACTGCTGGTTATGTCAGTTATTAAAACCATGGCTGCATTCCTAGCTTTTTATGTCTTAAGTTACATTAAATGGATGACTAGAAAAAAATATGTAACTTGAGAAATGGCTGATTAACATCCCTCAGAGACTTTAAACAAAGTTTCTCTTCCCATCTTCACACTTCCTTTATTGATAAAATTTAAACCCCAGCTGGGAAAATGAGGATAAAAGAGTTTGTGAAAAGGTGAATAGCCGATGCTGATCTTTGCTTTACAGACAGGAATTTGCTCTTGCTGGCTATGAATTCTGCATTTCAACTCTAGAGGAAAAAATTGAAAGAGAAAAGGAATTAGCAGAAGACATTTTGTCAGGTAGGGGAATCTGACTTTTATGGACATTGCGCAGAGGGCTTCATTCTTCATCTGTGGTAAAGGCCATTGCAGAGGGCTTCATTCCTCATCTGTGGTAAAGGGCATCAGGGGAGGGAGTCATTCATTTGGGAAATTAAGTGGCTATTTTTAAGATCTTGGCAGAGGATTTGGAATACAATATTTTGGTTCAATGACTTGACCACTGGTGTTTTTCTAACCCCTTGGTGACATGTTCATAATTTATTGGTTGTTTTTTATTATATATTAGAGATCCGGTGCCCTCTCACAATCCAGGACCTCCCCCCCAGGAATATTGGAGAGCTGGTTTTGGCTTGAACCCTGCAGACCAGGCTGAGGGACCCCACTGGTGCACAAATGTGTGCACTGGGCCTCTAGTATGCATATAAGATCTTTGGTTAATCTCTCCCCACCCTCTCCTCTCCCTTCCCTGAGATTCATCAGTCTGTTCCATGTTTCCATGCCTGGTTTCTGCTCCTGCGTTGAGTGTCTGCCCCCTGGTGGTCAGTGTGCGTCATAGCTACCGGCCAGTTGGCTGGTTGGCCGGTCGCTTAGGCTTTTATATATATACTGGAGGCCCGGTGCACACAAATTTGTGCACTGGGCGGGGGCGGGGGGGAGAGTCCCTCAGCCCGGCCTGGGACCCCTCGGGGGATGACCACCTGCAGGCTTAGGCCTGCTCCCCGAGGGATTGGGCCTAAGATGGCAATCAGACATCCCTCTGGCAGCCCGGCAGCCCTCGGGGGATGTCCACTTGCCAGCAGGGAGCAGACCTAGGCTGCAGTCAGACATCCTTAGCACTGCTGAGGAGGCAGGAGAGGCTCCCACCACCACCGCTGTACTGGCAGCCATCAGCCTGGCTTGTGGCTGAGCAGAGCTCCCCTATGTGGGAGCGACTGACCACCAGAGGGCAGCTCCTGCATTGAGCGTCTTCCCCCTGGTGGTCAGTGTGTGTCATAGTGACCAGTCATTCCCAGTCTTTCTGCTGTTAGGGTTAGTTTGCATATTACCCTTTTATTATATAGGATAGAGGCCTGGTGCACAGGTGGGGGCCGGCTGGTTTGCCCTGAAGGGTGTCCCGGATCAGGGTGGGGGTCCCTCTTGGGTGCCTGGCCAGCCTGGGTGAGGAGCTGATGGCTATTTGCAGCTAGTTACACATCCTTCAGGGTGGGGGTCCCCACTGGGGTGCCTGGCCAGCCTGGGTGAGGGGCTGAGGGCCGTTTTCAGACTGGCCTGTGACTGAAGCTCCCATCCTCTCCTTTTTTTTTTCTTTTTTATTCTGGGATTTATTTATCTTCTATAGTTGAAACTTCATTGCTGTCACTGGAGCTAGGAGCCGGCTCCAGCTCTGAGGCCACGGCCTGCTGAAAGCAAGTGTCTGGGGTTTGTTTAGCCTCTATAATTGAAACTTTGTTGCTTTCGGAGCTTAGAGCTGGGCCGTGGCAGGTGGGGAACCTTGGCTTCCTCCATCACTGGAGCAAGCAAGCCTCCTGCTCGCTTCAGCTGCGTGGCTGCTGGTCTCCATCTTGGTTGGTGGTTAATTTGCATATCACCCTGATTAGCCAATAGGAAGCGTAGCAAAGGTACAGTCAATTACCCTTTTTGTCTTTTATTAGATGGGATATAGATAACCTCTGGAAAATTGAAGAGCAGAAAGGGAAGGTTCAGCTTCTAGTCACAATGCAATTAATTACCTTTTGGTCCCAGATACACACCAACTTATGAAAGATAAGGAGCAGTTCATGATTTTGCAGTTCATCCTCAGTATGGAGGGAAGAGCAAGTTAAGCTAGCAATAGAACAGGGTGGGAAAGAAGCTCTGCAGCTTTGAACAATTCGGGCTGAAGCATTAGCAAGATGTTTGAGGTATAGCCTAAGTATCTCTTGTCTCTAAAACCCAAGTGTGCTTGGAAGAGTTGTCTGCTCAGTTGTCTTCCAGTTCTCTCCTCGATGTCACTACTGAGGCGCTCATTCCTTGTCTTACCCCCTGTACTTACTAGCAGTTCTAACCTGGTGATCACTGTCTCCTATTGCAAACACTTTATTCTCTTGGCTTCTGGGACACCTCCCTAGTCACTTGCCTTCCCATTTGCGACTGCTAAAGTTAGCAGCCCTCAGAGCTATCTTTGACCCTCACACCCTAGGAGATAACATTTAAGTCCTATCATGTTAATGTCATCTTCAGCCCCAACTTGCACATGTACTCCCTACTCATGGGTAAGGTTGTCTATCTGACATCTTGAATTGTCAGGGCCAGCCTGACAGGTTTGAGCCGGGCTGAGGCAGGGAGGTGGGAATTGAGAAAAGAAAGAAAGACAGGAAAGCGGGTCGGGAGGACCCCAGTTCTCTCGAACTGAAGCGAGTTTATTAGCTATACAATCCTATTTATACACAACACACTGAATAGGAGGTCTGTCAAGAGGAATGTATTCTTTGTTCCTCTTAATCTCTAAGGGAGAGACATAGCAGAAGGACAAGTTCTCAGTACAGCATATCTCAGTAAATAGTTACAGACTTCTTGGTAAGCTATGAAAGGCTGTTCTTATTCTACAAATGTTGCTCTCATTCTACTGACAATCACCATCCAAATAAGTCTGGGAAAACTGTGTGGGTAAGGGTCCCAGCCTTGCTAGCCCCTTCAGGTGCAAGGACCTTGCCAGCTTACATCTGGCCCCCAACATTGAATGATGGTCATCTCACACTTAACATGTCTGAAATGGGCCTCTCTTTTTAAATAATTTAAATTGTGTGTTCACCACCCCCCAAGTCAAGTCTCCTTCCATTACAATTTATCCCTCTATACCAAGAATGTCAATCTCGTGGCCCACGGGCTGCATGCAGCCCACAGTGAATATTTTTATGTCCCAGCCAATATAACAGTATGTAAGAAACGTTTTAATAAAAATTTTGTAACTTAATTTTTACAATATCCTGTTATACATTATTATTAATAACTAGCTGTACCTGGCCACGCGTTGCTGTGGCTCAGTCTGGTTAAATGGAAAAGAAAGAAAAGAGAAAGTGCACATTTCTAATATGTTTAATTTCACAATGCTTGTGGGTATACAATATTTTTTGTTGTTCCATTGTCTGCAGATATAGAGATTGTCTGGTTTGCCGACTCTAGAACACGCAACATATAATTGTCCATGTGAGAAGCAATCTGTGTCTAGATGTAAACCACACAATTCTAAAGATTGGCCCTGAGCTTTGTTGGTGTGATTGCAAACACCAATCAAATTGGGAATTGCATTCTCTTAAATTGAAATGGCATATCTGTTGGAATCATAGGAATGCGAGGAATGAGGACATCTTCACCTTTGAAAGGTCCTGTCAAGATTGTTGCTTCTACAACGTTGCTCATTAATTTTTTTACTGCAAGCCGCGTGCCGTTGCAAAGCTTTGGCTGGTTGATATTTCACAACATGATAATTGGCACGCCGATTTTCAGTTGCAGTACGTGCTGTGGCATCCCTGGCAGATTGAGTGAATTCAAAAAATTCTGTTAGATAATTAACCGCTTCATTTGCTTCCACAACAGTGTCGACGGACTTGTATGTGACTGCCTCGCTTTGAATGTTAGACTGAATAATATTGTTAAGTTCGTAGACATCTTTGTTCTTGGCCGCAAGAATAGCTTGTTCACTCAGCCGATTGTGATTCTTATAATTGGTTTGAATGTTGGGAAATACTTTTTCAACCAATTCTTCTTTTGACGTCACTAAATTGCAGAAGTTATGAGGCAGTGAAATTCGTCCTGAGGTCAGATCAACCGGCACCTTTCCGTTCCCAATTTCCAGCAATTGATGTGAGAATATCTCAGCTGATCAATCGTTTTGCAGCTGGACACACATATTTGTAGTTAATTTTATCAACAATTTATAATTGTAAACAGAAACATTGAAATGGAATCATAAAATATTTAGTATAGCATGTGTTGCTTTTACGTCCAACAGATGGCGCTGTTTTTCAAAAACGTTTTTAACTGTCACAGGTGTGACATCTATATAATAGTAGGTATATAGGTATATAAAAACACGCACGTATTTGAATGCAACGTTGTGTCAAAACTTCAAAGCAATTGGTGAAGAACTTTCGGAGATTTAAGATTTTAAACAAACAAACATTTACATTTTTATTTATATAGATGAACTACAACGTTTGCTAATGACTGATTACTATAATCACGCTGCATTCATTTCCCTTAACACGCCTTATGCACAGGCGCATCATTTCTCTCCATTAATACTAGCAGCGAATATTTTAGCAGCCGATTACCCTGTCATTAGTCTTGGACTGACTTGTTTGGTGTACGCAACAGGAACTATTTCACTTTTGGAGAATAAGAAAAATAGATTTATTTGTGTTACACTTAATAATTTGTGCAGTTATTCAACGTCTGGTAAGTTAATGTTCAAGAAAAAGTGTTTAGTTTTTATTAAAATGTTCTATTTTATGTTAACGATTACTCATTTATTTCAGCCCTTTGTATTCAGCATGTCTCTATTGAAATAAACCTACATTTCTATGAAAATTGAAGGGTTTTTTGCGGCCCACATAAACTTAAACCTTGTTTATTTGGCCTGTGTTAGCTTTTGAGTTTGACATGCTCTGTACTCTTTACCTCCCTCCCTCCCTCTCTCCCCTCAGGAAATCACCATGCTGTTGTCTATGAGTTTTTTGTTTCTTTTTTTAAATTAATCCCTTCACCTTTTCACCCATCCCCGCACCACCCCATCCCGTCCAACAGCTGTCAGTCTATTCTCTGTCTATGAGTCTATCTCTATTTTGTTTGCTACTTTGTGCATTAGATTCCGCAAATGAGTGAATTCATAAGGTACTTGTCATTCTGACTAGAGGCCCAGTGCATGAAATTTGTGCACGGATAGGGTCCCTAGCAGCTGCCGGCTACCTGCTGGGGCCTCTCTCCCCCAGCTGTGGGCTGCCAGCTGGGGCCTTCCTTTGTTCCGCACCGCCCCTTGG